TCGAGGCCGACGAGTTCGATGACTGGGAGGACGACTACGACTACCCCGAGGAGGCGCAGCGGCGCGGGGCCGCCTACCGGGGCGCCTCCGTGGCCCTGGACGAAGCCAACAAGATATTTCTGAGAACGTCCAGCGCCGGAGAGGCGGGCGGGGACGGCGGTTTTCAGATGCATTACGAGAAGACCCCGTTTGACCAGTTGGCTTTTATCGAAGAGCTTTTTTCCCTGATGGTTGTCAATCGTCTGACCGAAGAGCTCGGCTGTGATGAGATTATTGACAAAGATTAGAGTCAAATGCGGTGAAAGAGGAGGAAGCCACGTGAGGAGACACCCAGCATTCCACTGTCTCTTGGGTTTATTCCAAATGGTTCCGTGCCAACGAAAAACTTCATCTTCAAAAAAAGAATTTTTTTTGGTTTTGTTTTTCAGAATAGAATAGGGCAGTGACTGCACAGTTGTGAAAAAAGAAAAAAAAAGCTGTTAAAGGAAAAAGGATCTGAGGACTGTTGAAACCGGTTTATCCTGAAACACCGATGGCTTTGACTTCGCGATTGATCCAGATGATCTTCTTTGCATTGGGAAAAATTACTTCCACATCCACTGCGAGGAATGCTTCTGCAAGCATGCGTCGTGACCAAGACCCGCTGCCACCCAGGGCAAGAGCCCACTGATGCTGATTACGTGAGGAAAAGGAATGTATCCAACGTGGACACCAGATGTCTTTTGAGTTTATTGGACAGAAAGCCTATTGAGAAAACTTTGAAGATTCCACTTTGTGATCTGTTCAAGCTGTAGGCAGCAAAGGCTAAATTTTTTGTGTATTAATAATAAGGTGAATATTCTTAGTATCCCAGAAGTATAAGCAAACCCCAGAAGAAATATGTATCATGTGTATTACATCTTAACATGTTTCCAAGGGCATCTGAAATTTTATTTGTACTTGTATCTTGATCATTTATAAAGCTATTGTGATCTGTAATTCAAGAAAATTCATTATCTTGACCATTATTTTTAAAAGTAAAAAATGAAGAAATCCTCAGTAAATTTTCAAATTCAGACATTAAAATGTATGTGAAAGTATAAAGAAAACTATTTCTAATACCTTCAGATCCTAGAGGAATTTTGTTTTACCTTTAACTTTACAGGGAAAAGACTGGTGGGACTTCATCATGAAAGTGGAAATTGTCAAGTATAAAAGAAAGGCCCTGCATTTAAAAAAGACTTTATGGACAGTTATGCCATCAACCTTTAAAGGTTTCAAACCTATCCAGAAATTTCTGAAGTTTCCCTCTGTCTCCTCCTCTAATTAAGCTTGTCATTGGTTATGCACCAGCATTTGAGATAATAAAATTTCTTGTTCTGTGTATTTTGTTTGACTAATCATTAGTATGCATACACACTTTATATACTATTTTTACTGTATTCTATTTCATTGCATTATTGCAGCCACCTTATGATTTAAATTTAACCACTACAAGGGAAAGTGTTCCAGCTTCAAATATGTGATTTGCAAATTAATTTGGGGAAACTAAATTTAGTAAATTCCTATAAGAGAATGTGCCAACCTGGGAAAACCTGCCCTATAGGTGAGCATGTTACTGTGGTTATTTTATTATGGTTCTAAAGTTCTATGATAATTCTGTCAGAAGGCTGTGGCCAGTGAAACAGTGTATCGGCAGGTCTTATGACCAATAAAGAGATACTAGGTGTTCCTGCTCTTATTATGGCAATAAAAGACATATCTAATACAACATGACAGCTCGGGGCCTTAGAGAGGGGGGTGGTTTTGTGTAAAACATGGGGCTGACAAGGATGATCATAATAACACTAGCTTGGTGGGCAGGAAGAGAGAGATGGGGGAAAAACTTCAACTTCTTAATCCTGCCTCCTGCGTGCCTCACTTTCACTGCATTTTCAGACAGCTCATAGCTGCAGTTAGGTGAGTCTGTGGGTAAGTAATCAATTGCCTGTGTGATGTGAATTAACAGTACTGGGAGGGGGGAGGGAGGGAGGGGGAGGATGCCAATACGCAATAGGAAGTAGACAGAAAAAAAACAGGTTCAGGAACCCAGAGATGTGATTCTATTTCTCTGGGACTGACTGGGGAGCAAGAGGAGGGGGAGGGAAAACCAATCCCTGTTGGGTTTGAAGGCTTGTTTTGGGGAGAAAGACCTGCATTTTGCAACTGACTCCTAATGGTTGTCTGTTGGTCTTAAACATAGGCAGTGAACTGAGAGACCACTGAAATTAATACTTGTTACTTTACTGAAGGTATAAAATGTTACCATTTTTAACACCCCTGTTAGGAGTGTAAAATCACTTGTGTTTCTATTATAAACCTTATCACAGACTGGACCCCATCCACCTGATTCAAATTTAGGCTCCACTACTTACTAGCTTTCTAAGTAGACAGATTACTTAATATTTCTGCCTCAGTCCTGAATTGAAAATAGGGATATATATATATATATATATATATATATATATATATATATATATATATATATATAGTCTTCATTTAATGGAAACTAAAGAGATACATGGTAATAGAGATTAGGAAAAACAATACATCTCTTCATTTAATGGGTACTAAAGAAAGGATTCTGGAAAAATTCTGGTGCTGGTTTTGTGTGGGGAGAGAGGGAATTTAAGCTTATGAGTATGTAGTGTGAGATTTGGGGAGCATTTTCTGCATCTGTTCATAAAGATTACAAATGCTTGCTTAAATCAGATATCCCACATTGGCTGCCCTAGGGACAGATCTGTTTTGTTTGGCTCATACTTATAATTTTAATTTCTTAATTAAAGACCAATACTTCATACTCAAGAGAGCAGTAAAACTCCCAGGTTTCCATCTTTTTTTCTTCTTCAAAATTAGGAGACAGTGACATGGAGAAAGCACCTGTCTCACCTTTACATGGGGAAGGTATTCTGTTTGCCATGTCCCCCAGTGTTGTCTCTCTAACGGACTCCAAGTGGCACTCACTGTTTATTGTGCTTGCACCACTAAAAAAATTTTTTAAAAAAATATTTTTATTGATTTCAGAGAGGAAGGGAGAGGGAGAGATAGAAACATTAATGATGAGAGAGCATCATTGATTTGCTGCCTCCTGCACACTCCCTATTGGGGATGGAGCCTGCAACCTGGGCATGTGCCCTGACCTGGAATGGAACCCTGACCTCCTGTTTCATAGGTCGATGCTCAACCATTGAGCCGCACCGGCCTGGCACAACACTAGTTTTCCTTGTGCCTAAACACTGCATTACCTGCCTGGACTCTGTAAATATTTGAGACTAAAGAATGTCTCTATTTCCTGTTTGTTTGTTTTAACCCTCCTTACCTCTTTATTACTCTTCTCAATTTCAGTAGCTGTTAGAGCTAGTTGGTGGTAGGAGATGTAAAAATGAATAAAGAAACACTAAGAATGGAAACTACTTAAGAGACTGACATTTTTGCTTAAGGCCCTAAAATACTGTATATTAAAGTATGTCAATGAGGTCTGTTGTTAGAATTTTTAAAACAAGGAATATACAAAAATCATTTTTAAACCCTATGACTTGCTTTTCCAAAATATATTTTGTCATCCCAAAATATGGTAAGTTTTAAAAACTGCAAGCATTACGTGTTTAATATAGTTTTATTTCCTGCCTCTGAAGTTCTATGACACATTTTCTGGAAGTGAATGGCTAGTTATATTTTTAAAGTTTCAGTGGCTGAAAATAAATGTGAACCATCTGACCCATAAAAACTCTGTCATCTATGACTGTATCTGTAAGCTTAAACCTGTTTATGTTTTCAGTACAAAGTATATCTTAGAAGTTAAGGGAGGGGGAGGCATTAGTATATCTTTGTATTTATGTTAGAACTTCAAAGGGTAGCTTTTTAAAAGGAGAATGTAATTACAAAATCTTTTTCTCACGCTATATCCATAAGGTTGCTTCTTTGCTGCCTTCATGCCTGGAACATTTAAGTTGCCCTTTTGATGGAATGTATAAAGCTTCTCGAGGTTAAGCATCTGGAATGAGGCATATCTTTTTGTACACTGCCCCCGAGCCATTTCCCCCAGGCCTGCAGAATAGTTCAAAATTATTTGAACGGTGGTGTATCAGTGCGATCCTAACTTTTGTCACCATTCCAGCACTGAGCTGAACACAACCCCAGTCCATGGCACCACCGCAGAAAAGACATGGTTCACTCCCAAAGGTACCTCATTGCCATAACCACTGAGAGTGGAAGCTGCCCACGCCCATTGTCCCTACTTCGGTTCTGCCAGAAAGATGATGGGTGTGTGGCAATATCATCGCTAATTGCAGTGGCCTGGGGGAAAAAAGGCAGTGGAGGATAAGGAAAGGCTGAGAATAAACTAGAACCCCTGCCACACACAACACAACCCTATGCTTCCTCAATTCCCCATTCCTCCGTCACCCTGTGGAACAAGTCGTTTTAAAAACGCTCTTTGGACTCTGCACATAAGGCTGTCGCCAGATCGGCTCAGCTCTGCCCACTCTTCCTTCCTTACAAAACTCTGAGATAATTCGAGGGCTCCTGTACTCCATGAAATCTCATAACTAAAAGCATGGAGCATCCCTGCTTTGAAAACTAAAAGTAAATTTTAAATCTACAAATGTCTTGAAGATCAAAGCATCTGAAGGACAAAGAATGTTTTAACTTCCACCCAGATATGTTGCATCTCCCAAGTGCAGCCCCAAAGGTTCTCCCATCATTCTAAAAGTGGTGTCAACCTCTCTTGGATAACCAATGAGACCCAATGACGCAGGAATCTGTTTTGAACTGCTTCATAGTCTGCATTTTCCTCTATGATGGTTTATACTACTGTGTGATCAATGTATTTAATTCTGCTTTTGAATTTAAAAAATAAAACAGCCCTCAAAAACACAAGTGAGTTTTTTGGCAAAAAAATAAATAAATAAAGGAAATCAAAATGTATATAACTGTACTTATATGTTACTGACAATTCTATAATTTTATATAATATGCTTCCCCTATTAAGCACTGAGTATATGTAAAGGTCTCAAAGAAGAATGTTTGAGTAAATAATAATAGATACCATGTGACTGGCACTGTGCTAAGTGATTGATATCCATGATTTTACCTAGTCCCCTAAATAACCCCATGAGCCATACTATTGCTAAATCCATCCCCTCAGAAACTCTGTGAGAAGGTACTCTACACCTCTTTCACTGATGAGTACAATTGAGTGGTAGGGTAACTTGCTCATTCATAGCAAAGCCAGGATTTCAACCTATATGTGACCTCAAAAAAACTAGACTTTAACACACAAAAATAACCTGATACAAGGAATTTAGTTTAAAAAATATAAAGCAAGTAAAAAGTGTCCTGTTTTAAAGTACACATTTAGCTCAATGCCTCTGTCCTTTACATTTGCTTCAGCAATGCTGTTCTTTTTTTTTAATATATATTTTTATTGATATCAGAGAGGAAGGGAGAGGGAGAGAAAGATAGAAACATCAATGATGAGAGAGAATCATTGATTGGCTGCCTCCTGCACACCCCGTACTGGGGATCTAGCCAGCAGCCTGGGCATGTGCCCTTGACCGGATTCAAATCTGAGACCCTTCAGTCCGCAGGTGGATGCTCTATCCACTGAGCCAAACTGACTAGGACACAAGCAATGCTGTTCTTTAAGAAATAAGGTTAACGCCGAAACCGGTTTGGCTCAGTGGATAGAGCATCGGCCTGCGGACTGAAGGGTCCCAGGTTCGATTCTGGTCAAGGGCATGTACCTGGGTTGCGGGCACATCCCCAGTAGGAGATGTGCAAGAGGCAGCTGATCGATGTTTCTCTCTCATCGATGTTTCTAACTCTCTATCTCTCTCCCTTCCTCTCTGTAAAAAAAAAAAAAAAAATCAATAAAATATATTTTAGAAGAAAAAAAAAAAGAAATAAGGTTAACAATAAAAACTCAGTATCATAAGTCATCAAAGTTGAAAAAATTATGTTTACACAATAATGTTTTAGAAAGCTTTCAACCTCAAGGTTTGTAAGAAAATGTTTTCTGCTTAAATTTCACTTAACTAGAACATTAACCCTAACATCACCCCTCCTCTGTGCTTAATTCTGATAATGAAATTGCTTGTTCTGTTTTTCAATCCTCACCTGCAGTCAGCTGGTTGCCCTTCTGAATGCTCCCCAATTGGGGATCAAACCCACAACCCAAGTATGTGTTTTGTCAGGGAATTTCACCAGCAACCTTTTGGTGCATGGAACAATGTTCACCATTCCGGCCAGGGTGAAACTGCTTCTTCTTCAGGAAGGGTTGGTGGAGAGTAATAAATGACTGATTCAAAACTAGGTGTTGCCCAGCAGGTGTGGCTCAGTGGTTTGGGTGCTGTCTCATGCACCAAGAGGTCACCAGTTCAATTCCCAGTCAGGGCACATGCCCGGTTTCGAGCTCTATCCCCAGGAGGGGGTGTGCAGGAGGCAGCCGATGATTTTTTTTCTCATCAATGTTTCTCTCTCTCCCTTTCTTTCTCTCTATAAAAATCAATAAAAACATATTTTTAGTGTAAGGCTGCATGTTGAGATGGTCAGTTTTATATTCATTCCCGAAAACTGAAGATTACTTTTGCCAAGAACTGTTGATAGGAACTTAACTGGAGGCTTTAAAAAGAACAAAACACTCGAAGTTATGAATTCTGTTACAGAATGAATGTTTGTTTCTTTTTATGTTAAAAATGGCTCAAAGCCCAGACATACCCTTCCTCTTTATTTCACTCTACATAAATCAAATGAGATGAAATGATCTTTTAAATAAAAACTTTTTTAAAAATTGGAATGCACCCTGGCTGTTGTGGCTCAGTTGGTTGAGTGTCGTCCTGCACACCGAAAAGTAGGAGGTTCGGTTCCCAGTCAGGGCACATGCCCAGGTTGCAGGTTTGATCCCGGGTTAGGGTGCCTATGGGAAGCAACAGATTGATGTTTCTCTCATCCATGTTTCTCTCTCTCTTCCTCTCCCTTCTTCTCTCTCTAAAATCAATAAACCAAGCTGGTGTGGCTCAGTGGTTGGGCATCAACCTATGAACCAGAAGGTCACGGTTTTATCCTGGGTAGGCCACATGCCGGGTTGCAGGCTCAATCTTGAGCGGGGAACAAGCAGGAGGCAGCCAATGAATGATTCTCTCTCATCATTGATGTTTCTTTCTCTCTCTCCCTCTCCTTCCTCTCTGAAATCAATAATATATATTTAAATCAATAATAACATATCCACAAGTGAGGATTTTAAAAATGGAATGCAGCAGTTAAATCTGAGCCCTCAGAACTTTTCTCACACATTCCCTTCTCCCCAAGTATTTGGAGTAGAGGCCTGGTTTATATAAAAGGAATTCCTGAGAGAGTTTGGATTAACTGAACTCCCAAGTCCTTTTGAACATCACAAGTATTAAAAATATAAAAAGTTGCTGTCTAAGTGTTTTTTTGTGATGATTAAGAATATGAAAAACACAATGTAGCAAAACTTATGGGAAGCAGCATTTATAGCTATAAACACATTAAAAAAGGCCTCAAATCAACAACCTAGCTTTACAGCTTAAAAACTTGGAAAAAAACCAAAAAACTAAACCCAAAACTAGCAGAAGGGAGGATAAAAATGAAGATGAGAGCATAAATAAGTGATATAGAGATTAGAAAAACAAAAGAGAAAATCAACAAAAACAAAAGTTGGTTCTTCAAGAAGATCAAAATTGACAAACCTTTAGTTAGATACACTAAGAAAACGATAAGACTCATGTTATTAAGATCAGAAATGAAAGTGGGGACATTACTACTGATTCAACAGAAATAAAAGGATTATAAGAATACTATAAACAATTGAATTCCAACAAATTGGATTACCTAGACAAGATAGATAAATTTCTAGAAACATTAGACCTACCAAGACTAATCATGGACAAATAGAAAATCTGGATAGATCTACAACTAGTCAGAAACAAAACACAACACACACACACACACACACACACACACAACATAATATATTTTACCACAATATTTTTAAGCGTTGACAAGGACATGGAGAAAATAAAACCATTAGTAGGAATGTAAAATGGTACAACCACTATAGAAAACAATATGTCCGTTCCTCAAAAAATTAAAAATAGAATTACTGTATGATCTAGCAATCCCAGTTCTTGATATATATCCCCACAAAATTGAAAGCAGAGACTTGACCAGATATTTGGACTTCCATTTTCATAGCTAAAATGTGGAAGCAACCGAAGTGTCCACTGACAGATACATGGACAAGCAAAATGCATTATATATAGACAATGGGATAGTATTCAGCCTTAAAAAGGTAAGGAATTCTGACACATGCTGCAACTTGGATGAACTCTGAGTATATTATGCTAAGTGAAAAAGACAAATACTATATGATTCCACTTAAATGAAGTACTTAGAGTAGTCCAAATCATGGCGATAGGAAGTATGGCGGTGGATGCAATGTGATTCCCATTGCCTATTATCTTTATTCCCATAAAGCTGTGGAAGCCAGGTCTTAAGATTCCATCTTTAAATATTTGTGATGTTCAAAAGGACTTGAGAGTTACACACACACACACACACACACACACACACACACACTAGAATGGAGAGAGGAATGGGAAGTTACTGTTTAATGGGTAGTGGAGTTTTGGTTTTTAGAAGATGAAAAGAGTTGTGGAGATGGATGGTGGTAATGATTGCACAACATGAATGTACTTAATATCACTAAACGGTGCACTTAAAATGGTTAATAGGTAAACTTGATATTATGTATATTTTACCACAATTTTTTTAAGTTGTGGGTGAAAGAGTATATAAAAAATATAAAGTGCTTAGATGAGTCCCTGGCATGTATTAAGTATTCAGTAAATGCTAGCTGTCAAAGGAAATTTAACTCAAATTTTTCCTTTTTTGTTAAAGGTGTACTTTCTGGAACAATAATAGCCTGGTTTGTTTTGTTTGGGGGCATGGACTCCCTACTCCTGAAATGAGAAAACCTTAAATGAATGGGCCTGTTTGTTGGGATCATCCAGTTGCAGTGTCCTAGTCACAGAGGTTCTGAAAAGTAGGAGGATGCTGTTCTAATAGAATTCACAGCCATGCATCAGAGTTTTCCAGACCATGTGGCTCATCTGAGTCATGCTGGGTTACACCGGGTTCAGTTCTACGCAAAATGATGAAGAATGATGACAAATGAGGCAGGGTGGTATGGAAATGGAGCTCTAAGATGGGAACCTGAAGACCTGGCTTCTATCGCTGGCTCTGGTCTTCATGATCCTAGTGACTCAAGACAAATCTCTTCTCTGAGCCACAGTTTAGTAACTGGCAAAATGAGAGGCTCAGCCTGGAGGATACCTAAACATTCCTCCTTTTGAAACAGTTCCCATTTCTAAGATTTACACAGTTATCTTCAGAGCCTTTATGTCCCCTTTGGACTTTTCAAAGCAACTAAACATCCTAGAGTTAATAGCTTAATAACAATAATACTAATTACCATTATTGTTGAAAGTCTAATAGGTGTCAGACGCCGTGTTAAGCACTCTGTAGACACCATTTCACTTAATTCTTATACAACTCTGTAAAGTAAGTGCAATTTCCTCCCGTTTTACAGATGAGGAAACCAAGGATCCAAAAGGTGAAGTGACTTGTCCAAGGTCACACAGTTGGTAGTGTTAAAGAGAAAACCGCAGGCTCCAAATGGAGTCACTTGCACTAAAGCCCATGTCACTCAACCTACTCTTTTTTTAAAAAAATATTTTTATTGATTTCAGAGAGGAAGAGAGAGAAACATTGATCAACTGCCTTCTGCACACCCCCCACCGATGACTGAGCCCCCAACTTGGGCATGTGCCCTTAAGTGAAATCGAACCTGGGACCCCTTAGTCCCGCAGGCCGACGCTCCATCCACTGAGCTAAACCAGCCAGGGCTGAACCTACTCTTAATACCTGACCTAATTGCTGTTTCAACTTTTTCCAGGAATGTAATCTTAATCAGTCAATCTGGAATGTTCCGGTCAGTACCCGTGAGGTAACCTCTCACATGGGCCTTCTGCATCTGAAAGGAAACTGAAGCAATTTGCCTGGTAAGGGCCCCACCTTTCCCTAAGGGAAGGTAAGCTTGCCTCAGACAATCCTTTTTTTTTTTTCTTTTGCTAATCACTTCCTTGTCTGGCACAGTTTCTGCCTAGAAAGGCCTTCTATACTGCACAGTTTCTCGGAGCACCTCTTTATTTATTCGACGGGATGTTGGCCGGTTTAATAAAGCCAATTAGATCTTCAAATTTACTCGACTGAACTTGTGTTCTTTAAAAGTAGGAGGCAGAGGCAGGATTTAAACCCAAGTCTATCTAACACCAAAACTTGTGCTCTTTCAGCATGAAAAGTTCCTTCTCCCCATGTGTTATTATCTCATCTCTGCCAGCACCCGTGTTTGCATTTGAAAATCGGCCAAGGAGTTTAAAACGTCTAAAATGTTAAAAATACAGATATTAGAACATATTAAATTGGAAGGTACCAAACTGGCCATCTGGTTCAACAACTTCACTTTACAGGAATAAGAAAGAGCCTCAAACACAGGAGATACCGCGTTCAAAAGAAGGTAAGGACCCAGGCCTGGAACCCAGACGTTCTCACTTGAACCCCAGGAGCTTTCTCTGCTCTGTCCTTCCAGGCGCCACCATTTAAAACAAGTCCGAGGGGCCAGAGCGACTTTGAGTTGTATCTCTACTATCGTGCCAACGAATAAAGGCCATTCGGGACCTTAAGTCATATGGTGGAATGACCTAACAACTATTTTGATATCATCGTTCTCATAGCTGGGGAAACATAAAAGAAGAAAACCACACCAATGTTTATTTACCTTTCGCTTTTTAGTGGCTCCATTTGCCCCAGGGACAGCTTCGCACAGACGGCTTATTGCTTCCCTATGGAACAGAAACCACATGAAGACTTAGCGTACTCTCTAGTGCGCAGTAAATGCTCAATTAATGTTAGCAAGTATTATACTACACACACCGTGGCGAATCTGACATAAGCAACCTTCCCCACTCCCATCGGAGAAAACACGCTTGGTACTTCCAGCAACTCCCTAATCCTGAAACACTGCTTTATAATAAGCAGTCCTACCCTTCACCTTTGTCTCATTTTTTTTTCTAGGCTTTTCAGGTTTGTTTGTTTGTGTGTGTGTGTTTTGTTGTTGTTGCTGTTAATCCTTGCCAAGGATATTTTTCCCATTGATTTTTAGGGAGGGTGGAAGAGGGAAGACAGAGAAACATCAATGTGAGAGAAACACATCGATTGGTTGCTCCTGCATGAGCCTCGCCCAGGACCCAGGCCCGGTAAGAGTCAGCAACCAAGGTACATGCCCTTGACTGGAATCCAACCTGGGACCCTTTGGTCCGTAGGCCAATGCTCTATCCACTAAGCCTAACCCGCTCAGGCAGCCGTGGGCAAACTATGGCCCGCGGGCCGTTTGAAATGAATAAAACTAAAAAAAAAAAAAGAACCCATTGTGGCCCTAGAGTCAAAAAGTTTGCCCACCCCTGGGCTAAGGCCAGGTTAGGTTTTTAGTGTTGTTGATTTTTAACCAACAAGGAGGGGCAGAACTTTATTGTCTGAGACTATTTCACAGTTTACCTTTAGCATAACCCTCTCTGAGGTGCTATGAATAAAAAGCTTCCCAGTAGCTCAGCACCAAAGACAATTAAACACAAAAGAACCTGACACTAGAGGAAGTTTGAAAGGAAAGGGAGAGACTGAACTTCAACCTGGTCTCAGATGGAGCCTATTGACCAAGCTACTGCCACGAGCCATTGAGCTCTCACATAATTTCACAGAAGAAAGGAAAATCAATAACAAATTTCCTCCTTTGCTTATTTTTCTGCCCTTTCTATATACTGCCCTTCCTGAGAGAAAGGCTCCACTAAAACAAGTAGCTGCTCCTTAATGGAAGTGGTGAACGCACTGGCGCCCTCCTCCCCAGAAATGCAGTTAGAGCTAAGAGCTTCTGTCTCCGGCCTCCGCATTCACAACCGCCCAAGCTTTCACTCGCGTAATCTGAGCCCTCGCCATGTGGCTTTCAATGCTTATAGTAAACTTTTCACAAAGCAAATGGAAATCTCTAAGCTCTTCCCCGGACTCCCCGGAGATCACTGTTCAAATTAGTAAACTATATTAACACGCACAATACAGTTTTTATATCTATTATTCTATTTCATGAAAATATTTTCTCTGAGATGTTTCAAAAGGAGGAGCAGTTAGAGAGAGGAGAGACCGAGATAGAGGTAGAGAGAGAACAGACAGAAAGCAAGAGACGCAGAACAATTCTAGTAGACACTTTAGACAGAAGAAGAATAAAAGAATTTCCAAAGATTCTAGATATTACTTTGGATTTATAATGTAGGTTTTAGTTCCGATTCTTTTGTGTCTCTGGATAAGTGATTTTTTTTTTTTTTCTGGATTCCGATTTTATTTTTTTCTGGATAAGTAATTATTCGAAGTCGTTACCTTTTATACAGGACCTTGTAGTTTCACAAAGTCCTTCTTCTCCAAGGTGTTATCTTGTCTGATTTTTGCATAAATACCTGCCACCAAAAGATAGAATGGCCTTTGGGCTTAGCGTATTTTTCTCAGGATTTCGTATTTATTGTTTTCCTAGGATTTCAAACTTTGTCTCTGGAGTCAAATAGAAGGATAACATAGAGGGTTGGGCTCTTTTGTTTGGCTGATTGATGTTTGAGTCATCTTAATGATTAATCAATAATTGCTGAGACACACATAATTGATCCAAACTGGGCTCTGGTGTTGACAAAATAACTAGGGCAGGCACCCCACTAGGGTGTTGGTATTTAATAACGATGTATTATAAGAAAGGCATTATCAGATCCTTTACTCCGTGAGAGCCTACTGGTCTCCTGGAGTGCTTGGGTCTAAAAAGCTCTTTGTAAATGGTTTGAAATAAAAGTAAAAACAAAGATGAGCACTGCTGCTGCTGCTGCGTATAATAATAGTAATTATTCGAAGTTGTTACTCTTTACATAGATAGGACCCTGTAGTTTTACAAAGTGCTTTCCCAGACATTGGGTTGTGGGGTTTTTTTTGTTTTGTTTTGTTTTTTTATTCTCATACCAACTGTCAACACTGAAACAGGAATTTTGGGGGGGTGAAAAAGACAGGTTTTAGGAAATTTTAGAAATTAAGAGAACCATGGAAGAAACACAGGGCTGCAGAGCAGCAAAAGGCACATTTCCATAGAATGAGGGAGCTGGGAACAGCAAAAGGTCTATATTTACAAAATAAAGGGAAGGAAGCCCTTCATTCAGATGGAGAAGAAGAAAGCCCAAATGGAATAGGAAAACAGTAAGGAAGGAGGGGGAGAACCTCACCTGTCCCATGTGAGGCTCAACCTCTGAGCCCAGGAGTTACTATAGTAACCAGTCTAAGGAAATAGTGACCCATCAGAGGGGATATCAAGGCACCAGGATCTGCAGCCTTTATAAGCCTACAGAAAAGGAACTCAGTGGGACCCTTTCCCCTCCCCACATGGAGTCCGTACTTGTTCTTTAATACATTTCCACCTTTGCTATACTACCCTCTGTCTGTGGATTCATTCTTTGACTCCAACGGACAAAGAATCCAGGTTCCAGTCCAAAAATTCCTTTTCCAATACCCTCTAACAAAGTGTAAAGTTGTGACTTTGAATGAAAGAAAATGCTTTATTTTTTTTAAACCTGGATTTTAGCTTTTTTTCCGTTTTATTGAATTTATTGGGGTGACAGTGGTTAGCAAAATTACACAGAGAGGTGGGACAACCTTCATGCTATGATAGTAACAGCTCTTTATTTCCCTCGCTGCTCAAGTCCCACCTTAGCCTTTAACTCCTCCCTATTTCTTTGGCAGTTTACCTCAGCCACATTGGCATAAGGATTGGTCAAAAAGAAGCCCTCATGGCCGTGGCCGGGTAGCTCACTACATCCAGATCTATCTTTTCAGTTTATTTGGTAGACTTGCCTGTTTCCATTTCCCAAACGTTCATGAAGAAAAAGGAATCTTGACCAGGTTCAGCCCCCTTTCACATTGGAAATGCCTACTTCAGAATGCCGCAGCAGGAAGCCAGGGTTTTAAGGAAGGAGCCAGGCCCGGCTGGAAGCATCTCCTTCAGTCTTAGCAATGTCGTTTTCAGGTAGGTGCTTTACCACTTTTACAAATGAGTAAACTAAAAGTCAAAGAGTTTAAATACCTGACTCCAAAAAATGCAGCTGATACTGGGAGAGACAACATGCAAATCCAGCTCTG